TGCTAAGAAGTACTGTTTGGTGATTAATAGTTGTTGTTTGGTGCTAGGAAGTGTTGTTTGGAAGCTCAAAACTGTTTTTTGGTGCTATGAAGTGTTGTTTAGCCCTTAGAAGTTGTTGTTGGGAGTCTCTAGCTACTGCCCGGAGCTCTAGGAGGCCTTAGGATCGTTGTTTAGGCTTGCTAATTGCTGCCCTCTTTAGAATCATGTGCAACCATGTTGTGCAGTGTAAGTCCTAACTCACCCTTGATTCCAAGGTTGACGTGTGGTAAGATGTAAACCATCTTATCTCTGAGGGTTATTTGCATAACCAGTTATTATGCAAGTGTAAGTCCCAAATAATAAAATAAATAAAATTGACAGGATTGAACACTCAAATAATATCATCTCCAAAACGCAGCCACACAGTAGGATAGTTTGGGAAGTCACTGAAGTTTCTCCTCAATATCTGTGACGTCCCCTACATTTTTCCTTCATTTGGACTCCTGAAATAATTTTTCTTATTTGAGCCACTCAAACTTATTTTTCCATGTCATACTATAAAAACTTAAACTTTGAATTTTTTAAGAATGGTGTCTCTGATCATCATCGAGTGTTTTCTCAAGTGACTCGTCATTTGGATGTAATTAACTGTAGGGGTTTGTCTTGAACCCAGGTAAAATAAACTCTATTTAATATTTATATTAGATAGGGAAATTTGCCGGTAAAATAAACCCTATTTAATATTTATATTAGATAGGGAAATTTGCCAGCCAGACATAAAATTTTCGCAGGCCAAACGGATGTTACAAATCTCTTAATTTGCAGGATTGGGTCAACCGCCTAGGAATACACTTATCTTTCGGGAATGTATAGTATTTGTGGTATCGAGCACGATTATGCAAACTATTAGACTAATGAGATCCATTTGATCTCATTCTCCGAAAATTAAAACATACCACTTTCAAAACCAAAACTATATATCTCATATATTAAATTAAATTGACAATTAGTTTCAAATCGAAAAGTTGACCGCAACACATTCTTATGGCTCTTAGATAACATGCACTTTGCGACATTAGGTCTTTCATTACTATAATCTCTCATCCTCTTACCATAAACTTGACTATGACATGATACGTGGAGACCACCGTCCTAAAGTTATTTAAGAGTGATCACCTGAAAATTTCATTGTAAGTGTTAGGACATTTACTATAATGATATCAACCATGGCACGATATTATTGCTCTCCTCACGTAATTAACAAGACTGAGCAAACCTGAAGTGTCTCTTTGAACACATTTTTAAAAATTATGTTAACATAAGTCCCGGTGTTGATCAAAATACACCCCATTTGGTAGTTGGCAGTAAAGGTTGTGACATCTATGGCATCATTAAAAAATTTCGTTTTGTTAACTTCCCTTACTCGATGAAAGTAGTCAGCAATACTCGGTGTAAGGAGCCTTGGACATTGTCACCAAGTTCACCTCTCCAAATCAAAGTTGTTTGAGGAAAACTTGACAGGATGCTTCCACAAATGCTCAACAAGGATGGCCAACACTACGCCAACAATGTGAATTACCCGGGCCATACTGACTTATTACTTTAACCTTTAATGTGCTCCTTGTCCAATCTCCTCACTAAATTACCCAGAAAAAAAAAAAATTTTCTCATCCTGACCAACTCTTTCATCAATTTTCTCATATGTTTGCAATCCCAAGTGACAAATCCATTATTCTTATGGAATGCACCATATTTAGGGCTATCCCTCACATGACGTTCTACTCTAATGGTTGCAAATTTTTTTAGAAAATATTTATTTTGTATAACATCAACGAACTGGGTCATATCTACCAATTATGGAGTAATAGATGTTTAATGAAGGGTTGAAGTTGATATCTCTTTGTGGTGTCGATGAGTGGGGTTTTTGTTCCTAATTTATGGTGAGGCGATGGGCCAAAGATTCCTGCAGGATCGTCGTGCATTCTTATATTTGTATGAGTGATCTTGTTCTGATTGATCCCTTTTTTCTATTCTTTTTATCCTCATATGATTCCTATCACGATTAAGAACATGCAGGAGGCCCTACCTGGATAGTATTTTTCCGGAGTGATTAGAGGAAGATGGTTCAACTGTGTCATCATACCCTTCAGCTTTTATGTGACTGTTGGTGAGTTCGAGCAGCTCCACAAATATTTTCAGCTACTATAGACTGAGAGCGTCCCGAAATGATCTTTCTAATTGGTTTATGGTTAGAGCAAAATCGGAAACCATTAGATGAAATTCTCCAAATTACAACATTTTTTCTTTGGAATCTAATAATAAAATAATTAAATGAGTTGTCAGGCTCCTATCCCATCCTTAGAAGAGCCTATAACCACTTCAATGGTTTTTGAGCACTGGCAAATTAGGTGAAAAATATCCCCCTGAAGTCGATAAAAAAAGAGATTGTTCCCCATGTAAGGCGCGAGAACTACCTAAGAACTCCTAAATTAAATGCGATAAAAAATAAGTGATACGACAGATCGTCACTGATATGAAGCAGCGAGATAGTCGACTTAAAATAGGTTGCATGATCAACAACATCAGTTATCTCCCTTTGTACAATTCTAGTTGAAGTATATTGAACTTCAATAGGATTTTGCTTTGATCTCTATTGAATACCTTTGTCAACCATGATATTTTTCTCTCGACCCACCAAGGCAAAGGGATAAATTCTTCAATGTTGATAGAATAGTAGGTCTCATATATATCAGTTATATAAGTTAACATCATGGTACTTGATGGATGTCTCTAAATTATCAAATTTAAAGAACTATCGAGATCTCCACCCTCGAAACTGATTCGAGGGCACACTCGACTGCTTCATGAATCATACTTGTGAGTTTTACTTCATTTACACAAGTAGTTGATTGGTTACGAACTCTTGATTCTCCATACTCGCCTATCTCTCTATTTCGATGCTTTGCTTCTTGTAGTGCTTCTATTATGTTGTCGTAATTCTTCATTCTAATTCTTCCCTTATTTAGTATCATTTCTACGCTCACAACACATTTTATGATTTTAAATTCAAATCTATTCATGATGAAGTCAAATTAAAAAATAGAGAAGAATGGAGAAGAGAATGAGAGATAGAGAGAGAAGCTCTAAGGATCTTATTGCAAGTACGAAATACATAAAAAGCATATCTAAAAATAACCCTTTGAAGCTTTTGGACACTAAAAGAAATGCTACATCTAGACATCATAAATATTAGACAAAAAATAAATAAATACATTTGGATAGCTCCCCTTGGGAGACTGGGAGGAGTCATCAACTGGATAGAAGAGATCGCAGGCCTTCAAAAAGGAATGATGAATTGTTGATGAATTAGCTAAGTTGGGATAGGAATAGGAGAGTAGCTCATGTTGAAAGTGTGAGTGGCCCACCAAACTATGACAAGTATTCTTCTATCTTGGATAAGTAATTCCTTGAATTGATGACCTTGGCAAGCCCACTGCAATTTTTGGAGAGTGTATTTTGTCCTTTATGGGTGCATCTTAGGCTTAAGCGAGTGCTCCCTAAGCTTTAGGTAAGTAGCCCTCTAACATAAGCAAGTGATCTATGAGAGTTCATTTTTGTTCTGCTACTGATGTTGGGCTATCTTGGACAATAATGTCATAGACTTGCATGTGATGATTCATGAATTACTCTTAAAGAAGTTGTTGATAGTGATACCCAAATTTACTAGACATAATCAATTGTGATTTTTTCCAAGCTGAGTAGATTTGAAAGAATCTAAGTACATACTCGCTTCAAAACATAGAAAATGATGATTTATATGTCTTGTCTAATGCATTTTGCTTTGTTTTTTTTTTTTAAGTTCTAATGTCAGCTTTTCTACAAACAAAAAGGGTTCTATAATATTTTAAATAATTTGTTAAGTCTAACTCGTTGTTTTATTGTTCTAACTCGGACAATAGAATTCCAATCAGCATCTGTAGTCCAGAATCATTATGACAATGTGAATTGTCAATTACTTAATATTATTTACTCGTTATGCTATTGCATTGATATTAATGTCCTCATGCTTACAGTTATTGTTCCCACTGTTTCCCTATTATATTTCCATTGTTGTCTAATATTGTAATCTCCACTGTTTTGCCTTTCAAGCTGGGACACTGTTATTGTCCCCTTACAGCTATTAACATGTGAATTTTGTTGGTTGCTTCCCTTGTGTTTCTGGTCTATTGCATTATCCAGTAAGTTATTGGGCCCTCCCTTCCTTTACAGTTCTTTCACGCTACTCCAACTATAGTCCGAGACTGCTCCTTGCTGTCTCTCCGTTTATGACACCTGTTTGCCTATTTTTTTGGTTCTCACGAGAAATTTTAAAATTCTTTTTATGGAACAGTTTCAGTTATTGGAATTAATGCTGGATGTATTGGAACATTATTTTTAGTGGTTTTTAAAAGATTATTAGAAGTTTCTTATCTAGGTCCTTTGTAGGCTATAAAAAGCCCCAGAAAGAACATAAAATTCATTAGACGTTGAGTATTAAAATGAAAATTCATTTTCTTATGTATTCCTAGACGCGTGCTTATTAGATGTGTATCCTTTGAGTATTTCTCATACACAAAATAAACTACTTTTGGGGGCAAATCTTCTAGTATCATTGCGAGGCATGGTACTAGCTAAAGATGATTCCTATCCTAATTCTTATTTTAATTTATTTAGCCATAATTTATGTGTGACTGGAATTGTGTCAGTATGATGTGCACTAGATTTCCTTTTGAAGAGGTGAACTTTATTAATACTAAAATTTTATGTTTGTTCATCATTATTCTAGTGGATTTCATATTTTGGCAACTATTAAATTATTAATTGGTAAGAATGAGTCGGGCTTGTTCAACATTAAAATTTAAAAGCAACCTGTGTTTTTATTTATTTTCAATGCTCACCTGCCTACGTTGCAATGAGATATAGTATGAAAACACAACAGAGGGTGGATGCTACAATCTCTTGAAAGAAACAAGTTTTCTCACCCCAGATATAGAATCCCATGCCGGACTAAATCTTTGGTAAGGGTACCTTAGAATTACTGGAAGAACTGGCACCCTTGCTAGAAAGGCACCCGTTTTAAATGGAAGAAGGTAGTCACCATTTGTAGTAGTGCCTTCTGCGGTGTCAAAAAAAGTTATGATCAGACGATTGAGTACAGCATAAATGAGCACATTCAATAGCTCAAAAATATAATAAATTCCAGCAACAAGCATGAAAAAAAATTGTAAACAAATCATTTCATGTAATTGTCAGGATGTACAAATCATTCAGATGGAAAACGCAACCTACCATATCAGACAATAAACCTTCTATGCAATTCTATGATATTCAAAAAACATAATGTGAAAGTAGGGAATGTTATAAAATAACTTGAGAAACTTGCCAGTTCATTATCCTTGCATGTATTTGTGATAATAGCCCTAAATTTGCAATTAATCAAGAAATGCTTTAAGAAAAACACATCTTCAAGAAAAAAAAAATAGGCTTATATTTCAAGAAAATTTACCTGGAAAAAGTAACATCATTGGAGCATGAATATTTAGATGGGCCGCTTGAATCCTTTCTGTTACAACACCTGCATGCATAAAAGACCTTTAACCTCTGATAACATAATAGCACATGCTACAGAAATGACCACAGCCAACTATAATTTAGGCATAAAGACATGACAAATAGCACATTGCTTAAAATAGCTATCAACTTTCTTTTGATTAAATTATTTTTACACGCTAAAAGGTTACCCAGCCTTAAGGCTCCCAAAATATCCCCAAATATTCTATTAAGTTCTCAATAAATTAATGCATTTCGTATTATCATCTTAAGTTAACTCAATTCCACTTTATTAACTGATGTGGCCTCACCAGCACCAGAGAATTGGACAAATCTGGACTTTACATTTTGGGTGAGAATAGCAGAATGAGAACTCATAAAGCTAGCATCAATTAGATGACAAAAGGCTGGTGGAAATGATGATGATGATCACAATAGTTCAAAGGGCTTGATGCCCCAAGGTTCAATACTGGCTACATATAACAATCCTAGTAACCTCAGAATGATGATCATAATCAACAGTTTTCTACAATAAACCACCACCCATGGAGAATTTCTTTATTCTACAATCTCTGTAATGTCCATATACAAGAAAGGAACAAAATCCTAAAACAGTAACCCAAATAGCAAAGCTCCTGCATCATCAAAGGGATGTTTGCTTTGCTGAAAATGAAATTCAATGTAAGAAGTTTGTATACTGCTATGATTACAATGTATTTGAAATACTTTTGAGTAATTTGATTTGAAGAAGATTGAAAATAGTATATTTTAGAAATTATTTTTTGTTCGGCAGTGGCAAAGGGGTCAGCAAACAGCCGACAACGGTGGGATAGGTGGGCGGCGCAGCGACAGCGGGCTATGGCGGTGAACTGCAGCTTGGAAGAGTGGCCGATGGCGGCAACAACAAACACCAGCCGGCAGCAGTGCACAGCTGGCGGCCGATCTCAGAGGTGGACGACGGGGGGCGGAAGAGGTTGCGGCAAACGGCCAGAGGTGGGGGGGGCAGGGCGAGGGGTGGGCGGAGACTGGCGTAGCCGAGGTGGCAGCGGGTGGCGTATGACTGGCAGCTGCGACGTACGGCTTATAGTGGTGGAAGTGGGCAGCAGCAGCAACGACTGTAGCAGTGTACGGCCGGCAATGGCGGCGTGCGGTGGTGTTTGCCTATAATATTTTTCAAGAAGGGTGTACTTCAAATTTGACCAATTCGGCCGAATTCTAAATTCGGCCGAAATGAGTTGCAATATAAAATTCACATTCATTCATACTTTGCATTGCATTAGTAATTCATAATACCAAACACATAATTTTCTGAAATCAGTACTAAAGAATTACAGTACACCACAAATTCACTCAACCAAACATCCCCTACTTAAATGAAGACCAATGCCCTTACTATGCTATCAGAACTAATCCACATGGCATGTTTTCGAGCGAATCCTAGAAGCTTTCCAAGCCTTACAGGGGAAACAGAAAGAGAATTAATGATATTTAACACAAACCTCAAAAGGTCAACATGATTACAATATTTATTAAAAAAAATTTGTCAAAATCAAAGTGAAAATGTTACAATAACAAACTACAAGAAAAAATATGAATACCAAAGTTCACATACTATCGGAATGAAGTTGACAAAAATTAAAAAAGATATGGAAACCAAGAAAGGGCCGCATCCTTTCTACATTATAGTACATAGGAAAATTATACATGTTTTTTTTACTTATGATGCACTAACACTTCATAATAATAAAGCATATTATGTCAAAAAAGTGTAAGACATGTACGCTTTCCTGACATGGTAGCGGACACTCCATCTACAAATTCAATTAAAAATATAAAAAATGAAAAATAAAAAACTTTTAACGGGCATGCTTACAATACATATCTTAAATAATAAATTTAAACTTTAAGAATATATTACAAGAATAACTTAAGACATTAGCCATTTATTCACTTTTCATTTAAAATTTATTACTTAAATAACTTAAAAAATACTACACTTTTTATTTCCCTTATTCCACTATATTTTTCATGATTTTCTCAATTTTTATTTTTCAAATAATCAATCTTCTCAACTTTAAGTTAAAAATTTAGAATGCAAGAATATATTAATATTATTCACTTTTAACTTAAGAATATATTATTACAAGAATATTTCTCAAGGAAGAATATAACTTAGAATATAATCTTCCTTCAAGAATATATTACAAGAATATTTCTCAACTCTTTAAATTTATATAAAATATATGAAGACATAATATTATAATGTCATATCCAATGCGTATTAGTATGATATTTTAAATGAAAAAGGCATCTCATATCCTTGCTCTGATGTCCGTATCGTATCATAGTTGCTTACTAAAAAGAAGAAATCCAGCCAACAAAGAATGCTAGTAAAAATTAGAAAAAAACCACCATACCTTAGATGTTTTTTTTTCCTTCTTCCAAGTATATGTGTCTAACAAAAATTAGAGTGAATTGGTTGGAATCCTCATTCAAAAATTTGAATAGTATTTAGAAAATCCGAGAGCTTCTTATAAGAAACATAAAAAATCAAAAAAAAAAAAATACAAACAAAACACAATAGTTCACAAATTAAAAAATAAGCAGTAGTGATCCCAAGGTCAATGAGGCGGCAATAGATAAAAAAAAAGTGAAAATCTTGATAAGTGTAGGTCCTAGTTGGTAGAAACTATGTCGAATGTTTTACACTCCCTCTCAACTAAATGAATTAAAACCATACACTACAAGCTTGTCTAATAACTTCTTATAGAATTTACCTAATATTCTTTTTCTATTATTGTGGCTCCTTGGGAATCTAAAATTTTTTAATTAGATTTCACCGGACTCTTGATGCAAATTAATAAGAAATTATTAGTGATAATAAGATTTTGTTGTGATTAAAACAAGTAGGAGTATTTTTTATCCTTTCATTTTTAAGCAGAATGGTTCCCTTGACAAATTGATTGAATTTGACGTGTAATTGAGAAGTGTTTCGTTTTTAGTAAACCTATAATGATTTAGTAAGTAGTGATTTTGTATATGCTTTTGGGTAAAAGTGACTAACTCTAAAATAGAGTTATTTGTTGATATATGGGGTAATAAGTCAATTTAGGAGAAAAGAACAATCGATATTTGTTCCACAAGTTCAGTAAAAGCAAAATAGATAAAGGTTACATCAGCAAAGATAAACCTTAGCCGATAAAAATATATTTCATTGTCTAGAGTATCACTTTGTTTAAAATTTTGAGGACATTTATGAATAAAAACAAATATTACAAATATTTTAGGAATAAAATTATTAGAGATATTATACGGAAATAATATTTGTTCAGAACATCTGTTGTTCAAAAAATCTTAATATTGTTTTCCACCAGCATTATTTTGGGATATCTGTTGTTCAAAAAATCTTAATATTGTTTTCCACCAACATTATTTTGGGATATTTTTTTCAACAACAACAACAACAACAAAGCCTTAATCCCACTACGTGGGGTCGGCTACATGAATCCTTTTTTCTCTATTGCGTCCTATTGAGTGTCATATTTTCATTTAGTTTTAGTAAATGAAGATCATTTTTAATACAATAAGCCCAAGTTTTCCTAGGTCTACCTCCGCCTTTCTTAACACAAATCGAATCTAAAGCATCTACTCTCATAATCGGATCATCAGATGGTCGACGTTTAATGTGACCAAACCATCTAAGACGACTTTATCTAATTTTGTCTTTCATAGGAGTTACACCACCCCTATCACGGATATATTCATTTCGCATTTTTTTCTCTAAGTGTGAAGCCACTCATCCACCAAATCATTCTCATCTCGGCAACACTTAACTTATTATTATGCTTCTCTTTTAAAGGCCAACATTCAGCACCATAGAGCATTGCAGGTCTCACCACCGTCTTATATAATTTTCCTTTCAGTCTAAGCAGTACTTTTCTATCACACAAAAGGCCCGAAGCATTCCTCCACTTCAACAATTTTTTTTGTTTGAAAAAAATATCCCAAAAAAAAAAATTTTGGGATATATTTTTCAAAAAAAAAAAAAAAGATGGCTCATAGTAGCAAGTAGGTAATCATTCTTTTGTTTAGTAACTCAATTCTACTTCAGTGTATAAGTAAAAGAGGAATCATATAATGTTTCTTTTTCTAAGATATATGGTAAGAAAAAATAAATACAAAATTTGGCATTATTGGATTTGACTCGCTAAATTGATTTTTCATCAAGTCAAAAAATACGAGAGAAAATATTTACATCACTTACTACTTCTAGTAAAAAGATTTATGACAAAAAGGAGCCATCATCAATAATTGAAACAAATAAGTCAAGCCCCTGAGAGGTTAGGTATAGAGAATAGTCCCCATATGTCACTATGAATGAGAGAAAAAAGAATAATGATTCTTATATCACTCGTTAAAAAATTAATATGTTTGTGTTTTACTATTTAACAAAGATCAAAATAAAACTATACATTATTTATTTTTTTAAATAATGAAGGAACCAAAACAAAAAATAAATGGGTAGTTAAGAAAGAAAAGTTTAATATAAGTTTTTATTTTATTATTCCTTTTCTTTTTTATTTTTTTTGGATTTTACGTAACTAAAGGTTGTGGAAAGTTCTATCGGTTATCGGATAACAAAAGGTGATAGAGAACCACTTTCTCTAACAAGCCTAATCTTCCTTCTCATGTTTTATTCCTTAAATATACAATATGAGTAACCAAAATACAATTATGGACTTCAAAGTTTTATCCATACATTGAATGATACCTGGTTGGTAAATGATTTAGACACAAAAAAATATTATAAAGAGTAAAGAATTTATTTATAAAAATATTTCTTTGACTACAGTGTTTAAGGATCCATTGGCAATGGCTATTTTCTTATTGCTAGAACAAGGGCTATATGAAATAACTTTATAAGAGAAGTTAATCACATGATTTGCAACACTTGAATCAATGATCCAAAAGCTAGAAAAGAACATCATTGAGATTTTAAAGGCATAAAAAGAAAATGTAACAGGT